CTCAGCATAATACAATGCCATAGAGTCCACCCTTCAAAGCAGCCATTTTCTCCAGGGGAGCTGATCTCTGTCGGCTGGGGATCAGTGGTAAAAGCGGGAGATCCCCAGGCCCCACCTGGAGGCTGGCAACCCTACTGAGTAGGGTTGCCAAATCAGTCTTCACTGGTAGCGGGGGGCTCCCAGCCGGCGTCGGGTGTGTGCACGCATGTCACCCGGAAGTGATGTAGGCACGCTGGGCACGCTGGGGGCAGGGCCACGGCCATACAAGGGAAAACCATAGAGTTTTCCCTTGTATGGCCATGGCCCCGCCCCCAGCGTGCCCGGTGTGCCTACGTCACTTCCTAGTGACGCGCACGCCGGGGGCGGGGTTCCCCCGGGGCCCGATTCCGCCGCGGCAGAAATCGGGCCTCCAAAGCGGGCTTTTCCCCGCCCCCTGGCCCGATTTGGCAGCCCTACTGCTGAGTTCCTTCCACTCCGCATACTCCACACTCCCCAGGCTCCGCCTCCAAATCTACAGGAATTTCCCAACTTAGAGCTGGCAATCATAGGCCAAGGCGTTCTCAGATGTTGCCTCCTGGCACTGGTATTCAAACGTTTGCTGCCTCTGTTGTGGAGGCTCCCTTTGGCCTCCATGGCTAGTAACCCAGTGTTTCTTCTCCCTCAATCTAATGCCCTTCTAAAGACACCTATGCTCATCATTGCATCCACTGTCAGTGAATCCCACCTTTTAATAACCAGATGGGTGAAGCACTTTGTAGCAGCTCACTTTTAAGAGCCAAAAAGCACCTGTGCTGGTGCCTAATCGCCTCCCATGAATGACTTCCTTCCATAATTTAGGCCCCGGTCACACGGCAAAGTTGCCGCGGGAGAGGCACGGATGGTGGGCGGATTATCCGGGCACAATCACACCCCAACATCTGGGAAGTGGAGCGCACCCGTGGTTTACCGCCAAACATGCGCGTTAAAAAACTAGTACCTCCAAAGTACTAGTAAACGTTTGCCACGGGCTGCCTCCAGACGCCCATGGTGTGATCACGCCAGCACGTGGCATTCCCCTCCGGTCCCTTGTTTACCCGCTGGCGCCGAGGGAAGAACTCATGGTGTGCCGCCGGACAGCTGAGTGCATAATCGTGGATCAAACTGCGCCAGGCCAATTAGCCACACCTCCCCCCCGCGATATCTGGCCCGTGTGACCGGGGCCATAGTTAAATAAGAGCTGGCATAACATAATGAGCTGGGAAGTCTCTCTTCTTTCTAGCATGGGCATGGATAGTGTCTGTGACCTCACTGATATAGATGCAGATACCTTCTCTCCTCCTCTTTGCCCCTGCAGTTTTTGACCTTCCTAAAACATCACCTACTTAAAAACAAAAGAAAGTACTCTCCAGTTCTGTTCCCCTGGTGCTGTCATGTAGCCCTTTAGTTGTGCACAGTGTTCCCTCTAAGCTGGGTTAGTGTGAGCTAGCTCACAGTTTTTTAGCCTCCAGCTCACATATTTTTGTCTTAGCTGAGGAAGGACGGCTCCAGAGCAAACTAATTTATGCAGTAGCCAAATCACTGGCTCACAATTTTAATGCTCACAAAGCAGAATTTTTGCTCATAAGGCTCCACAACAGAGGGAGCATTTTGTGTGTGGGCGGGGGAAATTGGATAAGGCTAAGGCTATCACACTTTTAAAAAATTTGTTTAAATGGTTTTTCTTTGAAGGATGTGTGTTCCAGTATCAAGCCACCAGGCCCAAAAAACAAAACCCTGCAGTTTACATCTCCTGTTTCTTCATTTTAAAATACAAACTTCGCTTCTATCAAACCTTCTCTCTCTTTTCCTTCAGTGATGTCTCAAGTAGGGCTGTTGACCAATTAAAGAATGGCTAGCTGATTAGTTGATTAAATGTAAATAAACTGATGAAGACCAGTTTGGTGTAGTGGTTAAGTGTGTAGACTCTAATCTGAGAGAACCGGGTTTGATTCCCCATACCTCCACTTGCAGCTGCTGGATGACCTTGGGCAAGCCATAGTTCCGTCAGAGCTGTTCTTGAAAGAGCAGTTAATGAAAGAGCTCTCTCAGCCTTACCTACCTCACAGAGTGCCTGTTGTGGGGAGGGGAAGGGAAAGGAGTTTGTAAACCACTCTGAGTGAAGGGTGGGGTATAAATCCAATCTCCTCCTCCTCCTTCGCATAGGTAATTTTGGTCAGATACAAGTTCAAATGTATCTCATGTTCACAATTAGAAAGGAAAGGCGCTTCAATATTTTCATTTACATTCCCTACCAAATCCCAGCTAAACTTACCTATTATATACCTTTTATAAAATTGGCATTCTACTCTTCCGCCAATGAATTCAGGGTGGTCTGCAATTTTATCCTCACAACAACCTTGCAATGTAGACAAGATTGCAAGAGACAGGATGTGACTGGCCCAAGTTCACCTACTGAATTTGATGGCGGTAGTTGGGATTCAAATCCAAGCCTTACACAGGCTGTCCACTACAGCAGAAGGTTTGTGGCTGTCCTTGTAGCCTTAAGGCCTAGTTCTTTGATGTTAGTGTGAGAATCAAAGCTGCTGCTGGTGTGAACATCTGTATGAGCTTGGCGAGAAGTTGCTTGTTCTTCTCCTTCAGGGACTTGCTTGCTGCCAAAGCTGGGTTTGCCTCAGAGAGGTAGGGCTGTTTCATCTGCAGAACTGGCCAAGAGGCCCTCCTGTTCCGGGAAGGTGGGGTGGGGGGGAGCTTAATTCCCTGGGAACGAGCTAGCAGAGGTTTTCCAGGACGACTCTGAAAAGAACAGCTGTCTCTCTGAACCGCCTCAGGTCCTCTCTACCAATCCACAGCCTTCTCCGCTCGCCTGACTGAGGGGGATCGTCTCCTCTGCTGGCAGCCTTTTGCCTTTCTTTTCTTAAAGTTGTCCTTGCCAGTGAGATACGATCAAGCACCCCAAGTGCTGCTGCCCCCCCCACCTCGTTCCAAAATCGATGCTTGGAAGATGAGCTCATTATTTTCCTTGGCCTCAGTCCAAGCCTGTGGCTGGAAAGTGAGGCTAGGAACTGAGTTGAAGGTGCGCCTGATGCAGCTCTGCAGGGCTTGAGATGAGGGGATGGAGTTCCTAGACAGGTGGGAGCATTTGGCTTGAGAGTCCAGATATGAGGTGGTTCAAGTCTGGCCAGTATGTATTTCCCCCAAGACCAATAGATTCCTCTAGCCATATGTTGGGAGCTATTGGGTCGTGTGTCCAGTCTGGTGAGATCTGGCAATAGAGGCCTTTGCCAGGTGATAAGTGCAGTTTTGTTATTGGGAGGGTGTTTGGATGGCCATCTGCAGTGAGTAGAGGCTGCCAACAGAGAGTGTTCAACAGGAAACACATCAAAGGCAGGGGTACTGCTTGGTATTGGGGGGCTGACATGATGGCAGCTGACAAGATATTACTTCTGCATTGCCAAAAAGCTCAAATAGACCTACTGTGGCTTATGGCTGTTAGGCACGTGGACTGACTGCATCTGATGTTCTCAGGGCCGCCCCGAGGTTGTCCTGCGCTCTAGGCGAGCGCAGATGCCAACCTCCTGGTGGGGCCTGGAGACCATCCCAGTGAAGTCGGTGGGCACTCCCCGCTGCAGCCGCCCCTCGATCTGGCCCAGCCACTCGGCCAGGAAGCCCACCTGAGTCTCCGGCGTGACCCAGGGAGAGGCGGCGTGAGCAGGGTGTGGCGCTGTAGCTGGCCGGCGGAGGAGCAGGCGAGGGGGCGGAGGTGGAGGCAGGGGCGGCCGGACAGGCGCCGAAGAAGGGGGGCAGAGACGGGGACGGTCAGCACGGCCCTTCAGCTGCCTGCCTGCTCGCCCGCGTGCCCCACTGGGGGGGGAAAAGGATCTCTCTCGCCCGCAGGCCTCCTCGACGGGCCTGAAATGAACCCCCACCACCCCCCGTAGGGAGACGTGTGTCTCCCCTCCCCCTCGCTGCCGGCTGGGCACCTGAGGTCCTGAATTGCACTGGAGTCACACCAAACTGCTTTGGGTCCCCACTGGGATATGTGGGAGAAAAGCAAGGTAGAACATATACATATATTATTTGAGTCTATTTGTATTTGTCATGTCACTGAGATGAAAGGCGATGTGCACTTTATCCACAGTTGGTGGGTTTGGCTTCTTTGTCACAATCATTCCCATCTTGGAGTGTCTTGTCCACATGGGAAGATCCAGTTGCAAATTATTGGATATTGCGCTGTCATTCCACTGTAGCAATGATATGTGGATGCAAACCATGGCTGAACAAAGAGAGTCTTCTCTCTTTTTATGACAGGGAAACGTTGCCATAATATGAGGAATTCCTAGGGTTCTGTTATCTCATGGCTTCCATGGCTAGTATTCTGTACAAGATTCACCTCTGTGCAGTGAAGAGAGAGTGAGAGCTGACAATCAGCCGTGCAGTTTAGAAAATGCAAAATGACAATAATTTACCTGTTTTCTGGCTTTGTAGGCTGGGGGTTTTCCCTCTTGTGTTTGGGGGTGGCTGGCATTCCTTACATTTTAGTGTGAAAGGGTGCAGCGCTTGTTGGTTAAGATGACATTTAAACAGGGAGTTGGCATGCTTCAGTAGCATCTAGTGTGAGCACCAGGAAGTCCTGAGTTTAAATGTCTGATTGGTCACAAATTCACCAGGTGGTCTTAGGCCTGCCTTCGTTTCTTTGCCTCAGGTCCGTGATAAAGATAAAGATACTCAGATAATACAAGTATACATATTACCTTGCTCTTTCTCCTAATGGGGACCCAAAGCAGTTTGCAACCGTTCTCTTGTGCTCTGTTTTAGCCTCACAACGACCACCCTGTGAAGCAAGTTAGGCTGAGAGAAAGAGGGACTGACCCAAGGTCACTCAATAAGCTCCCTTGGCAGGGTGGGGATCTGAACCTGAGTCTTCCAGATCCTGTCCCAAGACATGCCGTAGAGCTCTCCTCTCTGCAGATTGGAAATGATAACTTTGAACTCATCCATTCTTCTATCTGTTTCTCCTCCAGAATCCTGGTGAATATGGATAACAACATCATCCAGCACTACAGCAATCACATGGCCTTTTTACTTGACATGGTGGAGGCTGAAGACAAATTCCAAGTAACCCTCAAGGAGCTCTAAGGACTCAAAAGACTGTGTGGCTGCTGAAATGTCACTTGCAAAGCTGAGGAGTTTGACAGCCATCCGCCCCAGCATGAACCAAGGACTCCGTGACTTGGACTTGAACCCAGTCCCACTGGGGGGAGGGGGAGAGAAACTCGGTTCGCAGGCCTCTGGTTGCCAAGGGGCCCTTCTTATATCATCCATGCTCAATGTGAATGTGGAACTTCTCTCTGAGTCGGTGCTGATATTTTATACCTTGTTGTTAATAATAATAATTATTAATATACACCTCTACCAGGCCATGAATTCTGACCTCTTTCACAGTCTCACACTCAGGAAATCAACATGTTCTTTTAGGTAGTTGTCGAGGCAGGTGTGGGATACGATGATGGGGAAAAGACAAACCTGCCAGTTGTGCCAAATCATACTGGATCCAGAGAGACTCTCACAACTGCCTTTGAACACTACCAAAGAGGTGGTGCGTGCACACAAACGCACACACAATCTCACTGCCTTATTCCTTGCCTTACCGACTGGATGTAAATAGCCCCAAGGGAAGTGCCTGGCTATAGTGACTGTTTTATACTTTTAGTATTTTTTATAGATATGTGTGTGTATATATATATATATATATATAGTGTGTATGTCTTTGTATAATATACTTTGTTTTATATTGAACAAGTGGAGGAAGGCAGAGCATTTCAAAACCAGGCTGCTTCACATTTCCCCAGTGAATTTGTTTGATCATTTTTGTAACGTTTTGTTTTGTATATTCTATGGAAATAAAGACTCAGAGACAGAGAAAAAATGTCTTTGATGCAGTGTCAGCGTGAAGCTTGGAGGAGTTTCATTTGAGTGTGTTTTGAAAGCCAAAATGGTGAGATAGACCGTGGTTCTTTGAGGTGAGGTTGCAGACCAGCAAAGGCAGCGGAATCAACCCCAAATTTAACTGCCAGGGTAACATTGAGTGGTGCTACTGTGTTTCAGGCAGGCCCTGGCTAGAAAGTCCCTCTGTGCATCTCCTAGTTATAAGCCAGGAGTCTCCAACAAAGAGCTTATGACAGTGATGGCGACCGAGTGCCCAAACAGTGACCCAAAACCCACTTATTTATCGCAAAGTGCCAACACAGCAATTTAACCTGAATACTGAGGTTTTACTTTAGAAAAAACAACTCATACATTAACTTAAGATGATCCAAACAAAGTAAGGAAAGCAATCCCAAATGCTTTCATTTACTTAAAATTATTTGGCAGAGAATTCGACACTTTAATGAAGGTCTGGGCCTGGCTGGGGCGATGGCACGCATGCCCACAGAGAGGGCTCTGAGGGCCACCTCTGGCACCTGTACCATAGGTTCGCCACCACTGGCTTATGAGCTACTGGTAGATTGCTGCCTGCTGCATAGTAGCTCATGTATTCCCTAGAAGATCCAGGAAGAGATTGTGAAAATTCTGCTTTAGAGTTTTGGGTTTGTTTGTTTTAAAGGATTTGTCTTGGTGCTGGTGGGGCAGAATAAAACTTGGGTGATAATGTCATGTCAGGTGGAACATAGCTTGGGAAATTCCTGGCGATTTGGGGCAGAGCCTGGAAAGGGCAGGGGGGGGCTACTGGTAGATTGCTGCCTGCTGCATAGTAGCTCATGTATTCCCTAGAAGATCCAGGAAGAGATTGTGAAAATTCTGCTTTAGAGTTTTGGGTTTGTTTGTTTGTTTTAAATGATTTTTCTTGGTGCTGGTGGGGCAGAATAAAACTTGGGTGATAATGTCATGTCAGGTGGAACATAGCTTGGGAAATTCCTGGCGATTTGGGGCAGAGCCTGGAAAGGGCAGGGGGGGGTTGTGTGTGGGTTTTTTGGGGGGGGGATGCTCAGCAGGGATGTGATGCCATAGAGTCCATCCTCTAAAGCTGCCATTTCCTTCAGGGGAACTGATCTCTGTTGCCTGCAGATCAGTTGTCATTCCAGGAGAGCCCCAAGTCCTACCTGGAGGTTGGCAAACTTATTCGTGTTCCTTGCTATAAGCCATCCCTGGTAGCACCAGAACTGACTGTAATTGGGTACTGAAGGAGGTGTTATTTGGCATAAAGTTGCTGCTGCTGGTTGGCTGTTTATCCAGAAGAAACTGATTTGACATCTACAGTCACAGATCAGTCAAGCTGAGCCAAAATGGGAAGGAGACACACTTTGAAATCATTCTCCTTCCCTGCTGTCCTGAAGCACTATACCCCATCTAATGAATGCTTGCCAACTCTGAGTTAGGAGATTCCTAGACATTTGGGAATAGAGACTGGGAATGATGGGGTTTGGGGAGGGAAGGGACTGACGTAGGGTTGCCAAGTCGGACGATCACACCAGCAGGGGAGGGAGGGCTTTCCGGGAGTGGGGGCAGAGTGCCAGAACATACTGACATCACGCAGAAGTGACGTCAGCAACACCGCAAGGCGACACTCTGGTTTTGGGCAAAACTCTATGGTAAAAAAAACACCCTTAAACCATAGAGTTTGGCCCAAAAACCAGAGCGCCACCAACATGATGATGTCACTTCCATGTGACATCAGTACATTGCGTTTGGCTGGCCAGCGGCATGCAGGAGCCCGAAAAACCAGGGGATTCCCCGCCCCCACCTGGGGAATAGCATCCCTAGACCTAAATGGGGGATAATGTCATAGAGTCCACCCTCTAAAGCGGGGGTGTTAAACATAAGGCCTGGGGGGCGGAACCAGACTGTCCAGGGCTCTTATCTGGCCCACGAGCAAGTGGTACGAGGGAGAGAAGTCAGGAGACTGCTCATGGGGGAAGCAGGTGCACACACTGAGGTGTGTGTGGTTGAAGCAGTCAAGAAACAGAAAGGAAACTGCTAAGGACTTATGAGGCGGAGGCAGCAAAAGCAGAGAAAAAGGAGGCATGGGAAGGACTTATGAGGTGGAGGTAAAATAGTGTGTGTGTGGGGGGGAATGGCAGCAAAAGCAGAGAAAAAGGAGGCATGGTGTTTTTTTCTTCCTGCTTCCTCCAACCGCAGCTCAGTGAGGAGTGGCAAAGACACTACAGGGGTACACTAAATGGAGACCGTGAGGGGGGGGGGTTGGTGAGAGTTGGGTGCACAGAGCAGTGGTTTGCCAATGAAGAAATGGGGCTAGCAGGGGAGAGAGGAGGAGAAGGGCCGGTACGTGGATTAGGAGGCAACTGGGCTGTCTTGTGCATCCCACTCTGAGGGGAAATACCTCCCAGCCTTGGAAGTGAGTGGAGGAATGAAGTGAAAAAGGGGAACTGCTGTCGCCGCCACACATCTGAACAGCCGCGGAGCCAGGAGGCAGAGTGCCAGGGAGGGTGGGGAACAATGAACTCCCTTCTCCCCCACACCTGTTCTCAGCCCATGAAGGAAAAGGGGTCATGAGAGGACAAAAGTCCCCCCCCCCGTAGGTTTCAGAAACAGCCTCTCGTCAGGCCTTCCCCTCAGCCCCACAACTTCTGTGCAAAATGCAGAAGGGATGAGAACTGGCGGGTGGGGGGGGGATCTGGGAGAACCAGGTTCTGACACACACACACACACACCCCGAGCTGGGACCAGTGTTCCCTCTAAGCTGAGTTAGTGTTCTGAGGGGAAATACCTCCCAGCCTTGGAAGTGAGTGGAGGAATGAAGTGAAAAAGGGGAACTGCTGTCGCCGCCACACATCTGAACAGCCGCGGAGCCAGGAGGCAGAGTGCCAGGGAGGGTGGGGAACAATGAACTCCCTTCTCCCCCACACCTGTTCTCAGCCCATGAAGGAAAAGGGGTCATGAGAGGACAAAAGTCCCCCCCCCGTAGGTTTCAGAAACAGCCTCTCGTCAGGCCTTCCCCTCAGCCCCACAACTTCTGTGCAAAATGCAGAAGGGATGAGAACTGGCGGGGGGGGGGGGGATCTGGGAGAACCCGGTTCTGCAACAACCACA